ATCAGCGACATTGTCGTGGTCCCTAAAGAACATGATGAAATATTCTAGGATGGTGAGAAGCCTGCCTTAGAGCTCGGGTCCCAGCCCTTGTCCTCCCTGCCCTCTCTCCTCCTATTGTCTTCCCTTCTCGAAGGGAAAGGAGGAAATCCCACCCAGCCAGGCATGGCCCCTGTGCCTTGGGTTCCAGGCTCCCTGGGGGCCCGGGCACCAGCCCTCACCTCAACCTCCATTCCCAGCCAGTTTAAGCTGGTATTTCATGGAACCGCTGAACCAGGCAGAAAGCGAAATGTCAGATGACTTCTGTAGCCTGTGTACCTATTGTGTCTGACACCTCCTTTCAAGAAAACATCAACTCTTTTTCCCCTCGGAGCTAAAATTATCCCTGAGCTAGAAGTGCCATGAATAAGAGAAAGTCACAGGTCAGCACCTGTCAGCTCTCCCGGGGCCGCGGGAGGTGGGCAGTGCTGCCACCTCCGCCCCGCCTCGCCTCCCAACCCTCGGCCGCGTTTTGCCTAGGCTCTGCTTGCTGGGTGTGCGCGTGCGTGTGTGTGTGGATGCGTGTGTGCACAGGTGCGTGTGCATACATCCTTTCCTTCATAAAGCTGCTTGTTTTCCCTTGTCTCCTGTGACCTTATTTGGTTCCTTCACAGTGATTTGGGTCTTTTCCTTCCCCTGGCTTTGTCCTCAGATCAGCCTGACTCTCAATCTTACTCAAACCAATCCTGTGAGACGAGAGGGAACCTGGAGCCACTTAGCCTGCCGCCTCCCCTCGCCCCTCCCAGAGCCTGGCGGTCCCCACTCCACCACCCGCTTCTGGCCTTGTAGTTGGGGACCGAGGGCAGGGCTGACTCTCCGTTCTTGTTGCCCTTTTCCAGGAGCCCCAGCAGTCCATATGGGGACGTGATTGGCCTCCAGGTGGACTACTGGCTAGGCCACCCTGGGGAGCGGAGGAGGGAAGGTGACAAGAGAGATACCAGCTCCAAGAACACCCTCAAGAGCGTCTTCCGCTCAGTGCAGGTTTCCCGCCTGCCCCATGGTGGGGAGGCTCAGCTTTCCGGCACCATGGCAATGACCGTGGTCACCAAAGAGAAGAACAAGAAAGGTAACTAATATCTGAGGCCAGGGACGATCAGGGCCACCAGACCTCCCAGCCTCCTCTCTCAGGGTCTGGGATGGAATCTGCTTCTGGGAGACCTTGGATGAAGGTGAGGCAGCACAAGCATCATGTGGTCCAGCTTGGGGTCCCATGGGGGTCCTGCCTCACCTTGTGGGACAAGGCCATTCCTCCTATAACAAAGGAAACCGGGGTCCCCAGTGAGTCACTGGTCCCTGCCTGCAGAGCAGCAGCACCTCAGGGGCCGAGGCAGTTTGTGCTGCTGTAAGGAAGGGACCCTTTCTGGTCACTGCCCTCAGGGATGGACTGTGACAGAGAAGGACATCTCCATGCCACAGCCCATGGTCATCCTGGCCCCATGGAGCAGCACATTCACACCCAACCCTGGAGGCCACTCAGGCCTTCGTGAGCAAAAGGGCATAGTTGTTTTTTAAAAATTGAGGGGAATACAGCCCATTCTAGATAAGAGGAGCGGCTTCAGGCACCAGAGGTAGAGTTGGGGGGCCCTGGAGCCTGCACTCTGGCAGGAGTCCCCGCCACCAGGCCCGTGCAGAGGCAGCACTCGCAGCTGTCAGTTCAGGTTGTAAACCCGCAGATCTGGCAGTATACCTGCAGTGGCAGGCTGGTGTGACCTAGGGCCCTCACAGCACCGCCACCTCCGCAGCTCTCAGGAAGGGGGCTTCCTTTGACTGCGGACCCTCCCTTCTCTGCTCTCCCAAGGCAGCTGGGCTGCTTTATGTTCAAGCTTCTGCTTCACAGAGAACCCCTGGGGGATGGGCAGGGGCTGTGCCAGGCCCATAGCCAAAACCTACAGGTGCACCCCAGAGACTGGCCTGGGGCGGTGCCCCCCGTCCTTGCCTCTTCTCAAGCGGGAGTGGAACAAGGAGTACCCCTCGGAGAGAGCTGGTACAAACTCTGTGCGCCTGCCTCCTGGCGGCAGCAGGCACATTCCTCCATGGCCTGCGAGTGTTCACAGGCTGCCTAGAACATTCAAGCAAGAAGGAACCTCAGAGACCATCTGGTCCTTGGTCTTCGTTACACAAGTGAAGATATAGAGGCCCAAGGGGTGGGAGGAACAGAGCTGGAACAAGACAGGAACTCAAAGACCCTGGGATCAGGGAGGAGGGGTTAGCTTCTGCAGATCACCTCCCCTACCCACAGGAAGAGGGGGCGGTGGGCTGGGGAAGGGGAGGGATGGCTGCTTTACCAGGGGCCGTAACAGATGGGATTCCTGCTTGCTTTTCAGTTCCCACCATCTTCCTGAGCAAGAAACCTCGAGAAAAGGAGGTGGATTCTAAGAGCCAGGTCATCGAAGGCATCAGCCGCCTCATCTGCTCTGCCAAGCAGCAGCAGACCATGCTGAGAGGTATGGGCGCGGGCAAGGAGGAGGGGACAAGGGACTGTGGGGGTGGGGAGGCCATGCCCCCCAGGGACCCTGGAAAGGTGGCCTTAGCAGTCCTGGTCATGCCCTCCCCTTCCCCTGTCATCCCCAGTGTCCATCGATGGAGTCGAGTGGAGTGACATCAAGTTCTTCCAGCTAGCGGCCCAGTGGCCCACCCATGTCAAGCACTTTCCAGTGGGACTGTTCAGTGGCAGCAAGGCCACCTGAGGGCACTGTCTCCTGGCCACTCTCCCTCCTGGCACTGCCACCAGCCTCACCGCCTGCAGGCAGGGGGAGGCCAGCAGGCCCGGGCCCAGCATCCCCTTTCCTGGCCCTGGGGCCTGCATCTCCCTTGCCCAGTCCTGAAGGACACTGCCACTGGGGACACGTCCCCTCCTCCCCACTGCTCAGTCCCCTCACTGGGCAGCCCCCTCCCTCCTGATCCAGGCGTGGGGCATGTTGATCTTGTCTTCTGGCACCAGTCCCTGGAATTGAGTCCTCCGGGCCTTCCTTCACCTGACTTCCAACCTCTTTCTCCCACGTGGCACTGGTTCCCTTCCTGGAAATGGGAAAGCTGGAATCCTGGCCCGCAGCGGGAAGTCCAGCCCTCCCCCTCCCGTTTTCTACAGCCCACAGGACCCCTCCGCTCCACAGTCACAGGGGCAGCTCCCGCCCCCAGGACAGAGTTTGTGTCCATGCTGTGTATTTCTATGACAGAGGGGTCTTCTTGGTCTCTCCCACGCGAGACTTCCTGACCACCCCCAGGTCCCCTGTAGATGTGTGTCCCGAGCGTTTCATTGGTTCTCTGCACGGCCAGGCTCTCAATAGTTCCATGTGACGCGTCTGGGCATCGGTCCCTGTCCTTGTGGCTCCCCCTTGTTATTGATTCCCCTCCCTCTGCCTCCCAGCCCTCTACCCAGCACAGTCTGCCTGTTCCTGAAACTCTGGACTCAGGAGAGATGGGAGACAGACCTCCACCAGTATATCGTCTGTGGCCCCCCAGCCCCCTCACCCCGCTGTTCCCACCACGTCCACTCGTCTCCTTCTCCCTGGTCTGTTCTGCCCCTCCTCGCTCCTGGGCCCCGGAGTCCAGTCGCCCTCCTGCAGGCGCCATTCCCTTCCTTCACCACGGACTTGGGGGTCTGAGCCCCTCCTCAGCCTTGACCATCAGCCTTCTCAGGAGAGGCTAAGCACACTGGGTCAGGATCCTAGCTGCAGCCCTCCTCCCGCCAGCACCTCCAGAAATTTCCGTTGCCCTTTCACCCCTTCTAGAAGTTTTGCACAGAACTTCATTTTGAAAAGTATCTTTCTCATTCTCCATCCTTCCTCCAAACTCCCAGTTCTCACCCACGGCTCGGCCCTGCTGTCCAGAGCATCTCGGGGCTGGGCTACCGTCCCGGCCGCAGAGAGGGGTGGAGTGGGAGGGGCTGAGTGGATGCTGGATTTTTCATTCAATAAACCGGTGATTTCTTACCAACCAGCAAGCCTTGGGCCTCTGTGCCTCTCATTGACGCAAGATCATCTGACCCCTACCCCTCGGCGCTACGCAGCCACCTCCACTCATCTACTAGGAACTGGCTGGAAAGAAGCAAATTCCTGTTTTTCTTAATCATAAAAACAGAGGCACGGAGGTGTCTGGCCCAGTAGGAGGCAAGTAGAATCAGAAACAGATCATCATTCCCACACTGAAATCCCATTTTTCCCTGGGACTCGCCACCCCAAAATCCCACTTTCCAAGGCAGTGACACATTAGGGACACTCCTCTGGTTGAAAATTAGAACTTGGCTTCTCTCTCTCTACTAGGCTGATGTCCTGCCATAGTTTCTGGACGGTGGTGAGGTCTGAGGCCAAAGGGCTCTCTGCCTCTGTAGGTGGAGGGAGTGGGGCTGCTGGGTCCCTAACTGAGTTGGCTTTCCTGTCTGCCCTTAACCTTAGAAACGGGAAACAGCTCTGCACACCAAGCCTCCCGTGAAGGACCCAGAGGTGGAGGCTGGTTTGCGGGGCTTGGTATTCTCACCCTGCGGGGCACAGCCACAGAGGGGTGGGCAGCCAAGTGGGGCAGGCTGTCCCTGGCTCCTGAAGCCCTGTGGTCAGATGGTCTAGCAGAGGGAGGCTCTGGGACCCCGGGGTGTGACCCTGTGCCAGCTCCTAGCATGGATAATGGAATTAACGCCTGCCTCCCAAGGGGACGGTCCAGTGAGGTCTGCGGAAGAGTCCCAGAACGCAAGGGACACGTGAGTTACCAGATGAAGCGTGCAGACTGGTGGGTGAGAGGAGACACCTCGGCTTGTGTCTGAGTGGCTGGAGAGAATGCGAGTGACCCTGGGCAGAGTGAACGTGTGCCCCAGAGACCTTCCCAGAATCCCAAGTGGGAAAGGTGTGGGGCAAGCAGACTTGGGTCCCAGCTCAGAACCAAAAAGAGGGCGCTGGTGGTGGAGAGGTGAGAGCAGGCGGCAGGAGCTTCTCCCAGCCTTCTTGCTTCTGTCTGCAGGGCCTCCGGGTCCTGTCTGTGGCCATCAGCGCCCTCCCTTGCTCCCACCCACAGGATCCCTCCCACCTCCAGGGTTTCGCTCCTGCACTTGCCCCCCTTTCCTGCATCACACGCCCCCCCTCTCTCCCGGGTCTCTCACACACACCCAGTAATGGCTCCCACGTTGGAATCAACCTCCCCATCCTTGATCCCATCTGGCTGCCGCACCGAGTCTCTGTTCCCCTTAGAGCCGAACTCTTCGAAGGAGGCGTTCGTTACCCTGTCTCCGCTTCCTCCCACTCCTTCAGGCTTTTCTCCTCACAAGCCCATCAGAAGTTCTCTTACCAAGGTCACGATGACCCGGGGTGCCAAATCCAAGGTCTGTTTTCTCGTCTGACCCCCGAGTAGCACTGGGTGCACGTACTCCCTGCTAGAACCGCTTTCTCCACTTGGCCTTGGACAGCACTGCGCTCTCCCTCCTCCACCAGCCGCTCTTTCTTTGCCTCCCTGCTGTGTCCTCCCGTCTGCCCAGCCTCGAAACACTGGACAACCAGGAGGTCTGGCCTCTGGCTTCCTCTCCCCTCAGCCCCGCGGTGGGAAACGCTTCCTGTGCGCGGACTTCTCTCTCCATTCTTCGGTTGCGGAGGCCAGAAACTGGACTCATCCTTGACTCTTTTCTCGGCCAGCGACCAGCGCACCGGCACATCCTGTCGCCTTTCCCTTCAGTCGGTCCAGCCCCTCACCGCTCTCTCTGCCGCTCCTGCTCCTCGTCGGGACTTTCCAACAGGCTCCTTATTATCTCCGCTTCCACCTACTCTCCCTGTAGTCTGTCCACACAAAAGCCAGCGAGCACGTTTTAAAATGTTAAGTTACTGACCCAAACTGTCTAATGGCTTCCCATCCCACTAGGAATAGAATCCAGAGCCCTCATCACAACCCTCCAGGCCTCCCTGATCCGCCCCCGGAGGTCTGCATGATTATCTCCATCCACTGCCCTCGCTCAGTGGCCCCCACAGCCCCGCCACACCAGGCACATTCTGCCTCAGGGCCTTTGCACAAGCCCCTCCCCCTGCCTATCCTGCTCCTGCCCTTATGTCCACATGGCTTATTCCCTCATTCAAGTCTTGGCTAAGCTGTCGCCTCAGAGAGGCCTTCTCTGTTCAACCCGTCCGAACTAGCTCCTCTCTTTCCTGTCACCCATCTTTGTTTTTCCTAGCGCTTCTCACTCCTTGGCATGAATTATTTTGTCTCTTCTCACTAGAATGTAAGTCCCAAGAAAACAGGAACTTAATTTTTTTCCCTTGCTATGTCCTTGACATCATCGGCACACAATACATGTTTGTGACAGAGAACAAATTGCCCTCCTGCAGCCGGAATGGGGTCCCTAATCCACACTTGCCACTCAGACACTGTGAGGCCACAGCCCAAAAGACACCCGAGTTTTCTCATAGGCCCCGGAAGAAGAGAGACGCGTACTCTGAGCAAAGAGGAAGAAGGGGGTGGGGGCTGTGCAGGAGTGGTTTAAAGGCCCCAAACGTGAGGCGACCCAGGTGGAAGATTTACATCTGGGACCACTTGCCCACCTGGTCACTGAGAGTGGAGGCCGGACCGAGCGGACCTGCCCACGGGGCCGCCAGAAACATTCTCCAAAGGCAGAGGGGTGGCATTTTGGTGCAGATGTTGACAGATGCAGGGGTAGAAGAGGTGGGGAGATGGAGGCAGGAGTCCTACTTAGGAGGTGGCATCAATAGGTGTAGGCGGCTGGTTAGGAAAGAGGGTCGGAGGAGAGAGTCAAGGACTGGGACTGGCCGTCTGCCTGAGTGAACAGGCAGATGGTGGGACAGCCCTGGAGGAGATCTGGGTAGGAGATGGTGGGTTTGGGCAAGGGGGGTGTGTGCTATTCAAAGGTGGGCGTCCAACTGGAGTTGAATATATAGGTCTGGATGGAGCTTAGGGGAATAAACCTGGCTGGATGGAGAGCTGACCTTAGGGGGAGGGTGAGATCGGCCCCTGCCGGGCTGAGCTGCCTCCATCCTGACCACAGAAGGCAGGAATCTCCAACTGCCAGCCCCTCCCCACCCCCACCCGAGCAGGAGATGAGTGGCAGGTGAGTGAAGCTTCATCTGTATTTGCAGCCGCTCCCCAGCGCCAGCATCACCACCTCAGCTCCGCCTCAGATCATCAGGCTTCTCATAGAAGCACCGGCCCCTGGTGCCGAAAAGGTTGGAGACCGCTGATATAGGGTAACTACTGCCAGCACCAAACATCTCAGCACTTGTTCAGACTCATCTTTCTCTTCTGCTGCCTCGTGTTGCTTGCTTTCATTCTGAATATGTTTTCTCTCCAACACCACCATAAGCAGAGATTGCCCTTATATTTAATATTTTTCTCTCCACTCTTCACTCACTAGCACAGGATCTGTCCAATAGTGAGCTTGATGGTGATAATAAATAACTACGAGCCATAGTGTCCATTACGTACAAGGCAAAATGTTAAGATCTGAACTTTGCTATTTATTCCATTCTCTCGAGGCCCCAACAAGGTAGGTATTAGGAACCTCATTCTACAGATGAGGAAACAGATGAAGTAACAGCATGCCTAAGTCTGCACACCCGGCAGATGGAGAAATACGGCCTTGAACTTAGCTTGGTCTGACCCCAGAGCCTGCGTGCCCTCCCGCTGAGCCCAGGCAGGGCCCCCTCTAGTCCCGCTGGGAGGCCATGAGGAAAAGATGGTGCAGATTTGCCATGTGGCTACCGGGACAGGAATCGGGAGCCTCTTGGGAGCTCGCTCAGAGCAGAGTCACTTCGTGGTTCAGTGGCAGAAAGAACTTACAGCCAGAAGTGTTCACAGTGGCACAGAACACTCAGGAAGTTTGTGAGCTGTGCATCACTCAGGGAGATATGATCTCTAAGGAGCCTCCACTCGAGTGTTTATGGGTGAACTTGCCGACTTTCCAAGGGAGATGATCTGCTTGGGAAAAGTGCCCCGCCCCCCCATCACTTCGAAGAAAGGGAGTGAAGCTAGCCAGGGGAAAGAGAATTATTTAAGAAAGCAGATTCGGGTGGGATGTGTGCTTCCGAGGATCCAAGGAGAAGAGTGGGAGCAGTGGGAGTGATTTTCAGGGAGAAAACAACATTAAAAGTAGCAAGAACAACTTCCCTAGGCTTGGGCCGGGCAGGGCCAAGCTGATGAGCTCTGCAGAAAACGGCATAAGGAGCTGAATCACCACTGAGCATGGGCTTCTTCCTTTACTCTCAGTTAACTGAGCACCCATCAGCAGCTTGGCAGGAGACCAGCAGCTGCTGGGAGGTGGGGGGTGGGGAGAACAGAGTAGATGAAGTAACAGTCTTTCCTGGAGACTCACAGTACAATCCTCAGCCACAAGATAAAAAGGTGGATGGTTGAAAAGCTTTGAACACATGCAAGGTCAAGAGCTGAAAGCAAGATAAGAGCCTGAGAACTAGCCGGCCCTCCCTCCACCTGGCGTGCAGGGAGGATCAGGCCGGCTGCCAAAAGAGAATCTCAGAGAAATCACAAAGCCTGCAGAGAGCAAGAGCCCAGCAAAAGTCACAAAGGAAGATTAAAAAATGATCTTTCCATTTACCTGGAAGAAGACAATAGGAATGTGCTCTTCAGAATGCACAAGGGGAGAAAGCAGGGGTCGTGGATGTGTTCGCGCTTCGCCATGTGTGGTTTGCACTACGCGAACCTATAAACACGCTCATGGAGGTGTGCATGTGGTACACAGGTGTTGGTTTGTTCCATGTCCCTGGGTGAATCTGCCTGAGGCTGTTAGCACTGTTTTTGTAGGTGTGACAAGCAAGCACTTGAGTTGGTTCTCTTGACCTCTACTCCATGCCATCAGTCTACCTCACACACTGGGACAAAATGACCTGGATTCTAGATTATGGAAAGACATAGTGGTCACCGGGTGCCTGAGCCCCCCAGGAACAGCAGGCTCTCACCTCATGCAGCTGCCTTCCCTTCTCGGCACCTCAGTTTCCTTACTTGTGAAATAAAGCGGGGCACATCACGGGCACTGCCAAAGTTTTATTTATTTTTTAATTTTTAATTTTCCAAAGTTTTAAAATAAGAGATGTCCAGGACACATCCTGGCACCACCGAATCCCAGTCTCTAAAAGGAGAGTCTTCTGACAAAATTCCTTCAAGAGAGATTCTGAAACCCAGCCTCATCAAGAATGACAAAGGCGCCCTGGGCTCCAGATTCCGTTTCCTTTCGGAGTGCAGTCATGGGCTGATGGAGACTGAGCACAGAGGCAGTCTTAGCACACCGTAGCCAGGAGTGCCTCTGGGAGGTAGGGCTAACACCAGGGCTAAAAAAAAAAACACAGACCCCAAAGCCAAAAGACTCCAATCTTCAGGGCTCTGGAGGAAAACGGACCAGATGAAACTGACAAAGATAAACCCAAGTTCTGCACTGATGCAGCAACGTAACAGGTGGACACAGAAACTGGTAACGGGTGCTTCTGGGCAGGGGAGCTGCATGGCTGAGGACAGTGGTCAGAGAAAGAACAGTATTTCATTGTAACTTGTATAATCCTTTTGATTTTGCACCATATGACTGACTGTATTAGCTACCTTTATATCACTGGGGGCGGGGGGGATCGTTGGCAGCAGCACAGTACACTTGTATAATCCTTTTGATTTTGCACCATATGACTATTAGCTACCTTTATATCACTGGGGGCGGGGGGGGATCGTTGGCAGCAGCACAGTATTGGGGAGAAGAACCTTACTGGATATACCTGGGATGCACGCAATCTGGAGTTTCAGCTGACAAGCTTACCCTGAGCAGACACGGTGCAGTGGCTGTCCAAGTCAACCTGACTTGTGACTTCACGGTGGACAGGTGGCACGCTCATGAAGAGGGGCCCATCCCTTTGTGATCTGTACAGTTCACGCCCTGCTGGATCCCCCTGGGCACTGGGCTGAGTAACAGTGTCTGGACTGACACACTAAACTACATCCAGAAAAGAGAAATCGGGATGGAGAAGGACCAGGCAACTGAGGCAGGGACCGTCCACCCAGGCAGGGAGAAGACTACCATGGTCTCCAAATATCTTTATTGGCAAAAGGGAGCAGACTGTTCTTCCTGAAGACGGAGCTTCAGTTTGGTGAGGGAAGCCCTGCAGGAAGGTACTTCTGGGTCTAGGAAAAAACATTCTTCTAACGCCCTGTCGCGGGATGTACTTGTGCTAGGGGTGCTGGGCCTTCTCTGTCAGAGGTGATGCTAAGGAGGTTCTCACCTCCACCAGGATGCTGAGGCTGGTGGAATCTGAGCCTGGGCCCATCCTGACTCATGAGGAACATTCGGATCCCTGGGGACCAGTGTCTCGCTCTGCAGGTTTTGTCCTTTGGGGTAGTTACCCTGCTGCCACTCACTAGTGACACTGACCTAGAAGCAGTGAGTCAGTGCCAAGGTAGCCACAAATCCAGAGCTGCAGAACTCCAGATCAAAACCTGGACCTGGCAGAGACCTAACAAGGCCAACAGGTGCGCCTTTCTGACCATTTTTAAAAATGAACATTTACTGAGCGATGCTACCTGGCTGCCCAGGGGCTATTCTGGGCGTGAACAAGACAGGCAGGGCGTGGCCTGCATTCCAAGGAGGAGGCAGAAAAGCGACAGGGAAAATGTTAGAAGAGATAATTAAGTGGGTGTCTGAGATGGACTGGAGGGCTGCTCTACATGGGGAGCCAGGAATCAAGGAAGGGCTCCCTGAAGAGGTGACATTTCATCTGAGCCCCGAATGACATCATGTCCTTGTCTTGATCATCAGGTCAACAGCATTTGTTGTGGTGGTCAGCCACAAGTGCATGAGTCTTCGTTTCGGCAGATGACCAGCTGTCCTGTGCCACTTTTTTCTCCCTTAAGGTCAGCAGCTTCGGTCCCTTCCCCCCAAGAAGCAGCCCTAGGATGTCGTGAACCCCCTACAGGGACAGAACAGCTCCGAAGGAGTTGGGTGGTCGGATCTGCAAGAAGTGGATAACACCAGTGCCCACTCCAGGAGGTATTTGCGAGCATTCACTGAGTTAACCCACTTAAGGCACCAAAGCGCCTGACACACAGCGCTCAGAGAGTGACAACTCCCTCAATAAATGTCAAGAAATGTCCGATGCCTCGCTGTGGACTCCGGGCCGTCTCCCCGTGCCTCAGTTTCACGGACTTCCGAGCCCCTCCGCACCCCTGCGGCCTCGGAAAGGTTTACAACTGAGGAATCCGAGGCCGCAGGAGCGCGGAGGCGGCCACTGGGAAGGGTGCCCCCGGCCAGCCCACGCCCCGCCCCTGGTGGCCACGCCCCGGCTCCCCCCACTTCTTGCCTGGAGCAGTCCCGGCTGGCGTGCTCCTTTAAGGCAGCCGGCGGGCGGAGAAGAGCGTGTTTCGCCCCCTCCGACGCCGCCGAGGTAGCAGCTTCACCTTTAAGGCGGCGCGGGGACTGTTGGGAAGGCCGGCGGGATGGAGGCAGTGGGACCCGCTCACGGCTGCGGGTCCGAGTGAAACGGGGCGGGAGCCGGAGCTGGAGCGGGAGCCGTGCCCGAGCGGGAGGCGCAGGTCCGCGCGGGCCGACTGGGCCGGGAGAGTAGGCTCTGGGTCGGCCCAGAGGAGGGGAGGATGCGGGCGCGGCCTGCGGGAGGCCCAGGCCCACTCGCGGGGAGGGGGCGCGGTCTTGGGTGGCGGGGGTGGCTGCTCGGCCTTTTCAGGGGGAGGGGTCCGCAGGACGTCGCGCGAGCCTATGGGAAGGGTCGCCGTGGGCGGGGCCTGAGGTGACGGAGAACCCGAGATCTAAACTCCCCTAGGGCGAGGGTCTTTCCAGAGTCGGCGCGCGCGAGGTGAAGGGTCCTGTGGCTCGGCCTGCCTGTTAGGGAGGGAGTTTTCCGAGGGGCTGGGACGGGATCTCCAGGAGGGGTCGGGGTCTCCCGCGTGGGAGTGAGCCCCTAGGATCCCATAGGACCGTCTTCCGACGCGCCCGGCCCTGGCTGAGGGAATCCCCGGGGAAACCCGAGACTGGGCCTCCTAAGCCTTGCCTGAGCCCGTGGTCTGAGCCGAATCCGGGTCCAGCCTCACCTACCTCACCGCATTGCGTCTCCCGGGCCGAGACGAGCTGGGCGCGCCCTCTGTAGGCCGAGCGCGGGCACGGTGCGGGCTGCTGGCTTGGGGACGTGGGCACCCCGGGGACCCAGGCGTCCAGGGACCGGAGGTGTTTACCTAATCTGGGGCGGACGGCGGTGTGGCCCCAGGCCCGGCACCCGCCTGCCGGCCCTCTCGCCTTCACAGGCGGCACGGCAATGGCCACGATGGTGCTGCCGCGAGAGGAGAAGCTGAGCCAGGATGAGATCGTGCTGGGCACCAAAGCCGTCATCCAAGGGCTGGAGACTCTGCGCGGGGAGCATCGTGCTCTTCTCGCTCCCTTGGTCGCTCATGAAGCTGGCGAGGCTGAGCCCGGCTCACAGGAACGCTGCGTTCTCCTGCGTCGCTCCCTGGAGGCCATTGAGCTGGGGCTGGGGGAGGCCCAGGTAGGCTGATCCGGGGCGCTGAGGTGGGAGGCCACAGGAGGGAGGGATGGAGCCTTCTAGAAAAAGGCAATGTAGGAACATATCTGAGCAGGGAACTATCCATACTCTGGAGCCCCATGGAAGGACCCAGTAAATATCTGCTGAAGAAATGAGTGGGTTTTGGAGACCCCAGCCGGTCCTTAACCCAGGAGAAGCTTGATCATTTTTACCCCATACACAGAACCCTGTTCTTAGCTTCTCTGTGAGGTAGCAGAGACTGAATGGCATAGGAGAAGGAAAAGGAAATCCCATAAGAATCTCCCCTCCATTCATTCTTATATTCATTAATTAACAGGTAAGTTATCAAATGCCTACTATGTGCCAGGCAATATGGTAGGTGCCAGGGATACAGGTTCAACAAAAGAGACAAGATCCCTGCCCTAGTCCATCGGGAAGACAGAAACATTTGTTACACAGTGATAAGTTCTTCAAAGAAAGGAACAAGATCTTGTAAGAATTTGTAGTGGGGAGTCTTATTTATTGGCCAGGTAAGACTTCTGAGGAAATGATATTTAAACCAAGATCTGACAGAAGAAATGGACCCAGCCTCTAGAGGAGGGAGGCAGGTAAGAGGTTGCATGTGCAAAGGTCCTGAGGTAGGAAAGATCTTATGAGGGGAGAACTGAGAGAAGACCTATGTGACTGGAGCTGAGGAAGGAGAGGCCTATGGAGAAGGCAGGGGCCAGATCATGCTGTACCTTATTAGTCTGAGTTTTATTCTCAGGAAATCAGCAAGCTTTTGAAGGGCCTTAAGCAGTCAAGGGACACAGTCTGACTTAGGCTTTAAAAGCTCCCGCAGGCTGAGGTATGCGGAATGAACTATAGTGGGTCAAGAATGGAAGCAGGTAGGAGGTAGTTAGGAAGCCACTGCTGGAATTCAAGTGAGAAATGGTGGCTTGGATTAAAAGGGTAACCATAAGGGTGAAAAGAAGGGGACCAGTTTTAGATGTTCTGGAGGTAGGTCCAGGAGGACCCGGGGATGAAGTAAGGGAGAGAGAGGAGGGCAGGGTAACTCCTAGGTTGGAGCAGTTTAAGGGGATGAGCCTGGATGATCAGCAGTTCTGTTTTGGCCCTCTTACATTGGGGCTGCCTGGATGATATGCAGATGGAGAAGGAGCTAGGTTCGGAGGGAAAGTCTTGGCCCCCTCAGATCTTGGCTGACACACTGGCTGGCTCCGTGAATCCTGGGCAGGTGGTCTCATCTTGGTTTCCTTGTCTTTAAAATAGGGATCATACCATATGCTATATGTACTTCCAGGCCATTTGGTGAACTTTTTAAAAAGCTAGTGGTTGTGAAAACACCTGTCACTTAAGACATTTGCTAATCAACTAGAAAGTGCAGGGTTCCTGAGCCTGATCCTCCGGAGGGGCAATGTGTTGGTCATTCATTCCTCGGCCAGTTGGCTGCCAGGTGCAGAGATGAACACACAGGGGCCCTCCTTGTGTGTGCAAGCACTGAGGCAGATGGGCAATAGGATGGCGTAGAGGGAGTGGAAGGTGCCATGCTTTCCTGGGGCTGTGGGCATAAGTGAGAAGAGGCTTCACTGCAGAAATGACCTGAATGTGAAGGATGGAGAAAGGGAAGAACATATGCAAGGTTCCAAGGCAGGAAGAGCCTAGAAGCTCAGGAAAGGAGTCAGGTGGGGGCTGAAGCTAGGCCTCTGGGTCTTCTTACCTGCTTGTGGTTCCTCAGACTTTCTGGGGGTTTGGGATACGCACGCCTTCCCTCCATGGGAGCTGCAGAAAGGCAGAGGCCAACTTGGACCCTTAGCAGAAGTCAGATTGGGTCCTTCAGTGGTCCTTCAGCCATCTATCAGGGTTCCCTGGGAAAGTGTTAGCCGTGGGGTGGGAAGCAGTGGCTGCAGGGGTTTGAATACAACCCCCAAGAGAGACAAAGGAAGTGAACGGCTAGCTCTGGGAAAGCGCAGCACCCCGAACTGCTCTCTTCATGATCAGGGCAAGGAGGTGGGAGCTGGACCATCATTGCAGACAACTAGCTGGATGCCCAGGAGAGGGGATGGACTTTGTCAGTCCAGCAGAGCCTGCCTGGGAACCCAGGGCTTCTGACACTAGAACAGGGGCCCCCAACCCCTGGGCTGCGGACCGGTACCGGTCTGTGGTCTGTTAGGAATCGGGCCGTGCAACAGGAGGTGAGCGGCAGGTGAGCAAGTGAAGCTTCATCTGTATTTGCAGCCGCTCCCCAGCGCTGGCATCACCGCCTCAGCTCCGCCTCAGATCATCAAGCATTAGATTCTCATAGGAGCACTGGTCCCTGGTGCCAAAATGGTTGGGGACCGCTGCCCTAGAAGGAAGGAATTGGGGATCCCCAAGCCACCTGGATTCAGGTTTTAGACTATGGTTCGGGGCCTTGGGGGAAAACTCCCTTGACAGGAAGAGAACTTCAAAGCCCTCAGCCCTGCAGCTCCTCACAGGCAGGGCCAGGCCTAGTCCTTTGCTGGGCCCCAGTGCCCCAGGCAGCCCAGGCTGGGGGTGGACAGGGCTCTGACTCACGTCCCGGCTGGCTGTCACAGGTGATCCTGGCGCTGTCAAGCCACCTGGGGGCTGTCGAGTCAGAGAAGCAGAAGCTGCGGGCTCAGGTGCGGCGCCTGGTGCAGGAGAACCAGTGGCTGCGAGAGGAGCTGGCAGGGACGCAGCAGAAGCTACAGCGCAGCGAGCAGGCTGTGGCCCAGCTCGAGGAGGAGAAGCAGCACTTGCTGTTCATGAGCCAGATCCGCAAGTTGGATGAGGACACCTCCCCCAATGTGAGTCCTACCATGGCCACTGCCAGGCCACCAGGCAGGAGGTCCTGGGAGCAGGGAGGGGATAGCATGGAGCAAACTCAGCTGTGACCCAACCACTGATACCTGGGCTACCTCGAGCCTTTTTTCCTGATCCTCATCCTGTCTTCCTGCCTAGGAGGAGAAGGGGGAGGTCCCCAAAGACTCTCTGGATGACCTGTTCCCCAACGAGGAGGAGCAGAACTCAGGTGCGGTGGGGCAGCTGGCTCTGGGGGCAGGGGAGGGGAGCTGGATGAACTCTTGGACCTTGGGACCCAGACGTCACTAAAAAGAAGGACTAAGGGGCTGCCATGTTCTTTCCTGCTCCGTTTCTGATCATCGCATCCCAGCATGTTAGAACTTAAAAGGCAGGTGTTACACATTGCTTCTGCCCCACCCAGCCAGCTCTGTGAGGAGCAGGATCACAGTTCACAGCTTCAGAGCAACCCAGGCTGGGCTCAAGTCCTATTGTGCCACCGGTTGCTCTGTGGCCACTGGTAGAGTTTCTTTTCTCCTCTGACCCTCCTCCGAGGGTTAGGGGAGGACGCATGTGCAGTGCTAGCCCGCCTCGCTGATGGCGTTGCGTGCACATCGGGGCCTCCGTTCTGCAGCTGGGGAGGCTGAGGCTCGGGGCTCAGGTAGTTTGCTCTAGGCCACGCAGCTTGAAGTGTTAGAGCTGGGATTCCACCTGCTCTTTCTGAAGAGTGACTAGACCCACCCTACAGATGGAGAAACTGAGACAGAACAGTTAGTGACTTGCCACGTGTCAGATGGGTCAAAGGTATGTGCTAGCCCAGCCCAGGGGGCAGATGGTCCATCTGAGCTCCTGCCTTTGACCTTGCAGCTCCCAGCCCTGGAGGAGGGGATGTGGCTGCCCAGCATGGGGGCTACGAAATCCCGGCCCGGCTGCGCACCCTGCACAACCTGGTGATCCAGTATGCTTCGCAGGGCCGCTACGAGGTGGCTGTGCCACTCTGCAAGCAGGCACTCGAAGACCTGGAGAAGACATCGGGCCGCGACCACCCTGATGTGGCCACCATGCTGAACATTTTGGCACTGGTCTATCGGTGAGGCTCCTCTGGCCACAGGCTCCAGCCCTGGGTCACAAACCCTCGGTGCCTGCTGTGGGCCAGGACTCAGGCTCCTCCGGGCAGCAGAGAGCAGAACCTGTGCCTAGAGGGGGGCTGAGCCAGGTGCCTGGACCTGCACGGGCCTGGGCTGCAGACATGAATAAGAGGAGAAAGACCTGGACACAACCAGAGAGGGGACAGCGCATGAGGACTCAGGGCACCGGGCATCGGCACAGCTTCTCTGGGCACCGTGGTTTGAGTAGGCTCTTTGGTGAGAGGCGAGTGTGCCCGGAACATGAGAGGATTAGCAAAGGTTTCCCTGGTGGAAAGAGCAGTGTGAGCAAAGGTGTCGGGGAAGAGAAAACAAGGTGCGCTGGACACGAGATACGGGGGGCGGTGGCGGGGAGACCTGGCACAGTTTGCCTCGTACCTCAGCACTGCGTGCCCTGGTGTGTGTGAACTACCCAGAGCTCCCTGAGCTCCTGGAGGGCAGGGGCTGACCAGGTCTCCCCATGTTCTGGGTTATAATCATGCCCACTCAGTAAATATAGGAGGTGTGATCTTGGGATCTCAGATCTAGGGGCCAGACTTTGGGCTGCAGGACAACCCTCAGCTTGCTTCTGTCTGCCCTCAGGGACCAGAACAAATACAAGGAGGCTGCCCACCTGCTCAATGACGCTCTGGCCATCCGTGAGAAGACACTGGGCAAGGATCACCCGGCTGTGAGTGAGGGTGGGTGGAGGTGAAGGCTGCTGCTGCCTTCTGCAGCTCCCAAGTCCCAGAACCCTTGCCAGCAGGGGCCTAGGTCACCGAGCCTCCATTCTTCCACCTTCTAGGTGGCAGCGACATTAAACAACCTGGCGGTTCTATACGGCAAGCGGGGCAAGTACAAGGAGGCCGAGCCACTGTGCAAGCGGGCTCTGGAGATCCGGGAAAAGGTGGGAGCAGGCGAGGCCGGGCAGGAGGGCTGCACAGGTGGGGGTCCCAGGCCGGCCACGAGCCCAGCCACTGGCCCCTGCTCCCATCCCAGGTCCTAGGCAAGTTTCATCCAGATGTCGCCAAGCAGCTGAGCAACCTGGCCCTGCTGTGCCAGAACCAGGGCAAAGCTGAGGAGGTTGAATACTACTACAGGCGGGCACTGGAGATCTATGCCACACGCCTTGGGCCTGATGACCCCAATGTGGCCAAGACCAAGAACAACCTGGTACCCTGGGCCAGGAGGGGCTGGAGGGAGGGAGGGGGCTATGGGAGGATGGAAAGGAAAAGGCTCAGCTCCCTGCATCCTGCTCATCCTCTGGCCCCTGCCACTCCAGGCCTCCTGCTATCTGAAGCAGGGCAAGTACCAGGATGCAGAGACCCTGTACAAGGAGATCCTTACCCGTGCTCATGAGAAGGAGTTTGGCTCTGTCAATGGTGAGTTTTTGGCTACTGTGTGCCCCCAGCTCACCCAGCACAGGCTCACTCAGCCATCAGCATCCATGGCAGCTGGGCAGGTCTTCATGCCTGGGGTCTGGCTGGTCTCTGGTCACTCGTGTGCACATGTGAGCTTGGACACACAGCTACTGCGCCCTGCTCATGCCATATACAGTCTTTGCATACCCCATGCCCTTGGCCCAGAGCCTTTTCCCTTACTCTGCTGGGCAACTGCTCACCACGACAGCCCAGCCCAAATGTCTCCCGCTCTGGGAAGCTACCTTCTGGCCCGATAGTCAGTTTCTGCTCTGGGACCCTTCAGCCTGGCCTGTCATTCATGCCGAGCACATGCCTCAGGCTGTAGGCTTGAGGTATCTTAAGCATCTGTTCCCCTAAGTGCCTCAGTCACAGGCTTGTGCCACAGTCAACTCTGTTCCAGAGGAGTGTCAGTAATGTTTGGGTCTGTTTTTTGTTTATTTAACAGAGCCCAACCCTGTTCCTTCCAGGGTACCACTCACCCCCTCCCCAGTCCTGTGTCCAGCCTCACCAGGAGAGGCCTTAATGGGAGGCTGGTGATGGCCCCCTTTCTCTCCCCAGGTGACAACAAGCCCATTTGGATGCACGCAGAGGAACGGGAGGAGAGCAAGGTAGCTCTGTGGGCAGGGCTGGGCGGGTGTCCAGAGAAGGACGGTGAAGCTGGGGGTGTGTGGACGAGGGGGGCCTGCTCTTCCCACCTCTCCTGACCATTCTTTCCCCCAGGATAAGCGCTGGGATAGCACCCCTTATGGGGAATATGGCAGCTGGTACAAGGCCTGTAAAGTAGACAGGTGAGGAAAGCAGGGCAGGGCTGGCGGCAGAGCAGGTAGCTGGGGAGACAGTATCCCAGTTGGGGGGCGGGGGCTGAGTTCAGGTCGCACACTTCATACTGCTCATCCCCAGGACCACACCTCTACCAGCTTGTTTTTCAGGGACTGGGTCACAGGCCACCTGTCTCAGAATGGCTTTTTGCACCAAGACAGCCTATTATTTCACTCTTGGGTCTCCCAGTTTTTAGTCCTAGTGGCAACATTTCACTTAGGGCTGTGGGGTCAGGTCCCTGGTCCTGGGGTGCTTCCAAGACAGAAGCATGCAGTCAGGCCTAGCCCAGGGCTTGGCACGATTCTGGTTGGCCGGATGGTTCCTTAGAGCCCAGTGTGGGCTGGATGTCAGGACAGGCCCTGGTTCCTGCGGAACACGGAGTTTGAGACTGTCTCCTGTCCTGTCCACAGCCCCACCGTCAATACCACCCTGCGCAGCCTGGGGGCCCTGTACCGGCGCCAGGGTAAGCTAGAAGCTGCGCACACACTGGAGGACTGCGCCAGTCGCAGCCGCAAGCAGGTGGGGCCACAGGCATGAGGGGTGTGGGCAGGGAGCTGCGTGGCCCTGTATGTTTTCTGGTCAGCCCACTGCTCCCCCTGACGCGCCCTCTGCTCCCTCAGGGCCTGGACCCTGCGAGCCAGACCAAGGTGGTGGAACTGCTGAAGGACGGCGGCGGGCGGGGAGACCGCCGTGGCAGCCGCGACACGGCCGGGGGTGCTGGGGCTCGGTCTGAGTCTGACCTCGAGGAGGCAGGGCCTGCAGCTGAGTGGAGTGGGGTGAGTCTAGGGGGTGGGCTGGGCCAGGAGGCTGCGGAGCCAGCATGGCATACAGACAGACCTGTCTACCCCACAGGATGGCAGTGGTTCCCTGCGGCGCAGCGGCTCCTTTGGGAAGCTCCGAGATGCCCTGAGGCGCAGCAGTGAGATGCTGGTGAAAAAGCTGCAGGGTGGTGGCCCCCAGGAACCCTCTAATCCCAGGTCAGCCTCTGAATCGATAAGCCCCCCACCCAGGGCAAGCCTCTCAAGAACTCACCCAACAATCCACCAATCCCAGATGAGCCCCTGACCCAGGGTAAACTTCCTCCTTTCAAGGTCCAGCCCCCCAAATCTGCTCCCCTCTCATTAGCCTCCCTCCCCAGTCCTAACCTGAACCCCTTCCCATTCCCTCTAAGTTTCACCATATGCAAATCCCAGCCTTTCTTCCCCTCAGGATGAAGCGGGCCAGTTCCCTCAACTTCCTCAACAAGAGTGTGGAGGAGCCGGTCCAGGTACGGGTGGGTGTCGGGGCACTGGGCAGCTGAGGCCCAGGGCCCAAGGCCTCCTCTATGCCCTCTGTACTTGCCCAGCTTCTCAAACATGTCTCTTCATCCTGCAACATTTCCTGTCTCCATCCCAGGCCTGGCTTTGGTCTGGAAACTGGGGAGACAAATGAGGGAAACCCACCCCCTGCTTGGGTGGACATGCAAGTGGCCAGTGCCAGCAGTCAGTGTGGAGGTGGGTGGAGGTGTCAGGCCACCAGGGCAAGGTGTGGGCCAGGCTTAGGGACTCTGGCTGGTCAGGCCCATTCCCCTTCCAGCCAGGGAAGCAGACTAGCAGCAGCACAATGCTGAGCCACTTGCCCCTTCTGCCCACAGCCTGGAGGCACAGGCCTCTCTGACAGCCGCACCCTCAGCTCCAGCTCCATGGACCTCTCCCGACGAAGCTCCCTGGTGGGCTAACACCGAAGGGGCAGCCGGTCATCAAAGCCGCCACCTGGCATTACCCCCACCCCCAGCCCTGCGCATGGGCCTGCTGCTTGCCCCGCCTGTCTCTCCCAGGGACCCCTGTCTTTTCTGTTCAATCTCAGGGTAACCTCCTCCCTTGTCATCTCAGCCTGAGCCCTGGCGTCTGGGCCTGCCCCGCTCCAGCTCTACCCCTTATTTATTCCTTCCAGCAGGGCCCCCTCTTCCCTAGATTCAGGGCCAGCAGTAAGGGCTGGCCCCAGTCTTCCAGGTAGAGGCTCAGTGGCCCGCCCTCCCCAGACCCCAGAGCCAGAACACTAAGCACCTGTCGTCCCTTCAGCACCCCTGTCCTCCCCTGGCCGTTGCTTCTGTATATAGAGAAATAAGTTATTGGCCACGCCCCTCTCAGTCCTTAGTACTGCCCGGGCCTCCCCTCACCCCGCCTTTCTCTAGTGGTACCGCCCACGCCTTAATCACCCCCATTCTGCGCGGTGGTATCTCCCAGGCTCCACAACACATCTTGGGGGGCTTCCTCAAAGGGTTCCCTGGGCCTTCTCGAGCTCCTCCCGGCCTCTGAAGGGCGCGCCTGTCCCCGCCATCGCCCAGTGCCCCGGGACGGCGAGCCTTCCCCTTGCCCATCCCCTCACCGCCGGGCCCTGCCCTGCATCCCGGCCTTATGCACTGCCCCGTCTCACCTGGCCCTGTCCAGGCACGGCCTGACCCCGCCCCAGGCACTGCCTGTCGAGCCATCCAGCCACGCCTCCCACGCCTGCAGCTTCTCGCGAGGGGCAGTGATGCGCCCCCCAACCTGTGGCTGGAGGGGCTGCCCTTGTTCGGGGTGTAGGCGGTCGCTCTATTTTCAAATGTTGCTGTAGAAATAAAGATGGTTTGAATCTGAGCCGGGCTTGTTTTTGGGCTGAGGCCTAGGGCTCTCAGCGTCTCTAGGTTGGGAGTGGGGTCGTGAAGGGCTGCAAGTGCGTGGGTGTGTGTGTGTGTGTGTCGCTCACATCTGGTCCCTTGCAGCTGGAGCGCAGATACTCTGCTCCTATCTTGGAATTGTTTGGGGGCCCCATAGGTTCAGGATCTAACAAGCTTCATCGCCCAGGTTCTAGAGACCGTGGGCTTTGATTAAGCTCTGCTCCTCACTAAGCTGTTTGACCTTCAGCGAGTTACCGACTCATTTTTTCACATAAAATGTGAAAGACACCTTCCTCCTGGGGATGTAGCTGGCGAGTTAGGAGCGCCAGCACCCTAGATAAATGAATATTACTAATGCTCACAACTCCGGGAGTTGGGAGGACAGAGATAACTACCTCTGCCAGATGTAAAACCTGTCAGCTCCAGCCCTAAACTGAGCTTTCAACATGGGGACGCCATCAGGCTCCCGAGGGCTGCCCTCAAGCCCAGGTACGTCTGGGGAGCGCACTACAAGCCCCAGAAAGCAATGCGTGGCAATGATGGGGAGTGGGCTAGAAGGCTCGGGCTCCGGTTTACGCCTGCGCAGCGGGTGGGTAGGTGGGTGTGTGTGTGTGTGTGTGTGTGTGCGCGCGCGCGTGCGACAATGTACAGATACTACAGGTTCCGAGAAGCAACGCAGCCGAGGTTGGGAGTGTGTGTGTGTGTGTGTGTGTGTGTGTGTGTGTGTGTGTGTGTGACAATATAGAGACTACAAGTTCCGGGAAGCAACGGTGGGTGTGCCGTGTGTGTGTGTGTGTGTGTGTGTGTGTCAGTGTAAGGATACTACAAGTCCGCATGTGTTTGTGTGTAAGAGACAATACGGACACTACAAGTCCGTGTGTGTCAGTAACAGTGTAAGGATACTACAAGTCCGTGTGTGTGTGCGCGTGTATGACAATGTACGGAGACTACAAGTTCCGAGAAGCAACGCAGCGAGGCCCCGGTCGGGCATCTTTGCGCCTGCGCGCCGCGGGCGGGGCCTCTGGGGCGGAGCGGCCACCATCTTGGAACGGGAGGCGGAGCAGAGCCGACTGGGAGCGACCGAGCGGGCCGCCGCTGCCGCCATGAACCCCGAATAGTGAGTGAGCCCCGCCCGCGCCGTTCGGCGCAGCCTCGATCCGGAGTACGGGGCTGTACGCTTACCGGGGTTGTCCGGCCTGGGTCAGGACTGCGCAGCGCCCCCACATCCGGGTCTCTCTTCCGCTGACCCCCCCCCCCACATCCGGGTCCTGCCCCTCCCCCGGGGGCCCCAGGACCCCAGCTCCATACCCCGAGTTCTTGCACCCGGGGCCAAAAGACTACGACCCCGAGGGGCGCCACTTGGAGCCCAAGGCACCGGCCGTACCAGGCCTTACGGTCAGGTAACTCCGCAGCCCCGATATCTCCAGGCCTCAGTTTCCCCACCTGCTGGTTGAGAGTGGCGGTATGGGTGCTGACAACGGCCTCAGCGTTATGGAGCCTGTCACCAGATCGTTCCTAGTCTGGGTCCCTTTAGGTCGGGCGGTAAAACCTTCTGTTCTTCCCGTTCTCCCGGAACCCGGTTCCTGGGGTTGGCCAGAGGCTGGAGGCCGAGGCGCCGTTCTGTGTAGCTCTCCCACAGGTCCTCCCCTCCGGGGCTGTCGCTTTGCCCCTTGCCTAGGTCAAGCTGCCCGCTGCTCCGGTGGCCAGTCCCTTCCCGCCCTCTCCTCACCTTTCCCCAGGCCCGCAGCACCACCGTCGCACCCCTTCTCTTCGCTGTCACACTGCTGATGAAGTTTAGATGAGTGTGTCATTTGTTCCCCCCCCCTCCAGTGGGATTCTCTGTTCCTCATACTCTCCTCACTTCTTGGCCGCTCCCCCTATGGGTAGATGGCCCACATCTCTGCCCCAGGCTTCTCATTGACAGTTTTTCTTGAGTGTCAGTTATCGGCTTCCTCCTCTGCCACTTCCTTCTTTTTTCTCCAGATCCAGGCCTCAGATTTCCTGGGAAGGGGGAAGCTCTGAGCTAGATTTGACAGGGAACAGAGAAGGGAACCGATAGGTCCTCACAGAGACTTTGAAGTCCAAACCTGGTTTCCAGTCTTAAAGTGAACAGCTGTATAGACTTAGAGCAAGTCACTTCCCTTCTCTGACCTCCGGTTTCCTCATTTGGTGGGAATAACAACACACACTTCACTGGACTCTCGTGAGGCTTAAATAAAATGATGCATTTGAAGTACTTAGCACAGGGCCGGGCACAAGTAGGAACTCAGTACAGTTTTAAGTGATTGCCACTTGTTACCACCTCTTCTTATATGCTTCATACTAGGCTCTTTATAATAGATATTCACTTAACAACTTCCGGGCTGACCCTCACTTCTACTTATGGGGCCTCCTCTGCCAAGCCAGGTTTGCTTAGGGGCAGTGTAGTGCGGGGGAGGGTTCCCTAAATAACCCCTACTGGACCTGAGACCATGGAATCTGTCAGGAATCAGTAGGATACTCAGCTGTCACCTGATGGTGATCCTCCGCAAGTCATATCCCTCTCTGTGAACTCAAGTTTCCTTCTCTGTAAAGTGGGAATTCATATGCCATGTTGTTATGGGGGGTGGTCAGCTCTCCCTTCCCAGGACTTGTGGGAGGATCTTGTGATCGCCTTAGTAGTACACAGTGGCACGTCTGATTGTGGGAGGATGCTATAGCTGTGACCAGGATGATGGCCGGCAGACTCCCTGCCTGCCTTCACACCTTCCTCTCCTTTCTCTCCAGTGACTACCTGTTTAAGCTGCTTTTGATTGGTGACTCGGGCGTGGGCAAGTCCTGCCTGCTTCTGCGGTTTGCTGTGAGTAGGAAGCCTGCCATACCATCTGTCCGGGGTCTTGGCTGGTGGCGGGAGGGAGAAGGGGCAACCCAGAGCACAGTAGTTACAAGAACTGGGGCACCAAGGATGAAATTGCAGGTTCTGCCAACTGAATAAGGACACATGGCCGGCAAGTTAAGTGCTGAGAACTGGGGCCCAGCAGTTAGGAACTGTGCTGGGGCAGGAGACTCAAGGGAGATTTACCAGTTGGGCCTCAAGCCTGTTCACTCAGGCCATATCACTGGCCCCTGATCTTCCAGGATGACACATATACAGAGAGCTACATCAGCACCATTGGGGTGGACTTCAAGATCCGAACCATTGAGCTGGATGGCAAAACCATCAAACTTCAGATTGTGAGTGTCGCTCTTCCCAGAGTCCCTGGTGCAGAGGCATTTGCCTTGGGAGGGGAGGGGCTCTGGGCTCCTCTGGGCTCTGGTCAGCCCAAGGCTGACCTGCTCTTCTCTTGGACTGTCTTGTAGTGGGACACAGCTGGTCAGGAGCGGTTCCGGACCATCACTTCCAGCTACTACCGGGGGGCTCATGGCATCATTGTGGTGTATGACGTCACCGACCAGGTAATCCTGAGCTCACCTTTCCCAGCTTTGCCTCCTCGGCCTCAGGTCTTTGGCTCTTGCTTCTTGTCACTCTTCCCGTCCTCTCTTCCTCATGTGACTTGGAAAGGAGACCAGACTAGGACTCATTCCACCAGGAGGGAGACAGTGCAGAATCGGTCCTCCCGAGGCCCCGCTGCAGGGTCTCAGCAGAGTCAGGCCTCACCCCTCCCTGCCAGGCTTGCAACCTTGTGTTTGACCTTCCAGGCACCTATGTTTTGGGGGCGTTTAGTCAGTCAATTTGATGCTGTTCTGGGCCCCTGGCCTCCTGTGCGAAGACACTGGAGAAGCGACTGAAGGGCCTGAGACGGAACAAGGGAGCCCTCTGGGTCCGGTGTGAGCAGAGGTCTGGAGCCCTGTGACTGCTGTGGCACCCTTAGTCATGTGTCATTGGCAGCAGTTGTGATGTTAACCATCAGAAACAGTCTTGTCATACCTTAGAGCAGGGGTCCCCAACTCCTGGGCCGTGGACCGGTATTGGTCTATGGCCTGTTTGGAACTGGGCCGCACAACAAGAGGTGAGTGGCAGGCAAGTGATTGAAGCTTCATCTGTATATGCACCTGCTCCCCAGCGCCAGCATCACCCCTCGGCTCCACCTCAGATCCTCAGGCATTAGGTTCTCATGGGAGCACCGGTCTCTGGTGCCCAGAAGGTTGGGGACCGCTGCCTTATAGCTTACAGCACCTACCACAGTCTTTTGAAGTTCATGACACTCTTAAGAGGTCTGTGTTGTTCCTGTTTCACAGATGAGGTGATAGAGTGGTAAGGACACTTGCTCAGCGTCCTGCAGTTGTTCTAGTGGCAGAGAAAGAAAGCCTAGGTCTCCTTACTTGATTCGACTTGCTTTGTTCTTAATACCGAAGCTCGTTGCTTAGTGGGGACCAGCTCTGAGGGCATGGAGATGCTTATATCAGCTCTGGGCCAGGAGGAGCCCCTGCTCTGACGGACAGCTGGGCTCTTTGGCTCACCAGGGACTCATGGTGCCTCCGAGACAGCAAGCTGTGGGTGAACTGTGGTCCACTCAGATACAGGCACCAGGGACCTCTAACTGCCACATCCTGTGACCTCATTTTAATGCGCACCCTGACGGACGTCTTTTGGCTTTTAACTCAATTCTCCTTCCTCTTCTTGAAAAGTTCGCTGTGTCCAGCTCTCCCAGCAACTGCTGCATTAGATTCTCTCTTCAGTAGCTTTTTACAGGTTCATCCTGTACTGACCCCCTGGCCCCATGTTTTGTGCTTCCTGACCCTGCCCCAAGCTGCATCCTGACTCTCCCTGCATGGTTCTGGCCACTTTGTGGTTTGGCTTCTGTTTTACGATCTGTGATTCCTGCATCTAAACAGCTATCACCATGGATCTTCTCTGGCCTACATTCCACTGGTACGTTATGTCTGTGTTAATTCTGATCTCAGTGTTACCCAGCGAACTAAGTGGTGGGCCCCTCGTTTTCCGGGCGAGGAAGCATGCTTGGAGAGATGTTAAGTGATTTGTGGTCTCGCAACTAGGAA